TTTGAGAATGAGAACTTTATTTAAATATATTATTTGTAAGGAAGTTTGTGTTTGATTTGGTCTCTGACTTAGATTCCAGTGATTTTTCAGAATCCAGAGATTTACAGATTAAAATTCTGCTTTATTACGGGGTTATTGAAGCTAAATTTATGTATGTGTTAGTTTCTTCCTTACATACATAGATGCACAGGCACACAAAATATGGGGAAAAATCCCAAGGAAATATGGCAAGGTATTCACAGTATATTTATGTGGTTAAGTTTAAGTGATTTAAAAATCCTTATTACATATTTACATTTTATGATTTCATAGCTGTAGAAAGATACAGCTATTTTCAGTTTCAAAACACATATAATCCCACCATAGGTGGTACAGTGTTAGGCAAGCTTTTTTTATGAACTCATGAATCTCTGTAAAAACCTGCAATGAACAATATCTTGCTCTCCCATAGGTATTACTAATTTGGCCAGGTTATACGTAATAACTGTAAAGATTATGTGGTGCTCACATCATCTCAGGAGTGACTGAAGATAAGAAGGAATTAAAAAGTAAGCAGAAATTACACTTATCCAGGGTCTTGGGATCCTTTACTTTCTTAAAAATTATTATTATTCTAATTTTTTTTTTTTTGCGGAACCGGGGATTGAACTCAGGCCCTTGCGCTTGCCAGGGAATCTTAAAAATTATTGACCACCAAAGAATTTCTACTTATGCAAGCTACATTTACCAGTATTTGTTGTATTGTAAATTAAAACTGAGGATTTAAAAAATATATTTCTTTATGTGTTCATTTAAAAATAATAAAGAAAACATTACATGGACAGTATGCGTAACACATTGCACGGAGACACAATGTGCAACGCATTGCATAACACATTTCACTTCAGAGAAGTGAAACTGTATATATATATATTTGTACATACATGCTGAAAAGAGTAGAAGTGTGCTACCTTTTGGTAAATGTCTGTAATGTAAGCTGGATAGAGCTGGATTCTCTTATCTGCTTCTGCATTCACTTGGTTGCAATGTGGCATTTTCGATTGAAGTCTAAGAAGAAAATTTGGCTTCACACAAATATGTAATTAGAAAAGGGAGGAATATTTTTAAAACTTTGACAGGATTATAGACATTCTTTAGTATTACACTAATTCTCAATAAGTGGATTTATTAAAGTTAGTTTCATTGTGAAATCTGAAATTATAAATATAAAATTTTAAAACTCTTGCACCTAATTTGTCTCTCAAGGAAGATTTCTAAGAAAAAATAATCTAAATTTTACTTTAAAAAGTGTAATATTTCAATAAACAAAACAACCCCAGATTCTTTAGTGTATGTTAATACTCTGATTTTCTTCAAAATATTTCCTTAAACATTGAAGAACCACACAAATCTCTGAGCCTGAGTTTTACATCTTTAGGTAAATTATCTTTAAGGTTTACTATTGATTATATGAACTATCTCTTAAGCTTTGCTCTTCATCCTTCTTGAGTAACTTGATATATATTCATTATGAACAGCACAGGAAAAATGTCTCATCAATGGTATTCTCGACATGTGTCCTTGTAAGTATGAAAGAAATTATTTTAAAAACAAAACCTTTGTTTGAGTCTGAAAACCAAAATTTTTTAATCTGGTTTTCTTTTGGAAATCAATTTCTTGATTTCCAAAAGAAAATGTTTGCTTCAGTAGTAAATGTTTATACCCAAAGCTGAAGCCAAAGTACACATTCCCTTTTATGATACTCATGTAATATGTCAGACATTATTAAAAATAATTTGCACATGCCCACCCACGGCTTGTGATGATGTCTCCTGTCTTTGTAAACATTTGCACAAAATGTCTGGACAATTAGCTGATTATAAAACCTCCTTAAAAATCCCTGTTTATCAAAATCAAGGTTTGGTTGTTTTAGTACGGATATCTTGTTTTGAATGACAAAAGAAATAATGCTGTTGTTTATTCACAGATCAAATGGTCCTTCTAGAAGATGAGGCTGCTATATATTTATGATTCTAAGACAACCATCCTTTGTCTTCATACCTGCCAATTTAGATGTCTCCTTGGACTTCTCTCATTGTGTTCATTATAGTTCAAAATCATTTATTTGTACAGTCAAGTAGAGAGAGAGAGAGAGAGAGAGAGAGAGAGAGAGAGAGAGAGAGAGAGAACATAAGACACTGGCTTGAACAAAGATAAAGAAAGAATAGGCAATGGGACCAGTTTGCGGCTGGGTCAGATTGGCATTCTCCAACAAAAAGCATGCTGTGAGAACAGGACTTGACAGATATATTTCCTAAAAACAATAGGAAAGTGAAAAATAAGACCAAAAAGGGAAGGAAAGCTCATGAATGATAAATTGAAGGTTTCATATATAAGTGGATCCCACTTGAAGATACACATAAGTGAAATAAACCAGATGCACATGTGTAAATATCATATAGTCTCCCTAGTATAAGAACTCAAAAGAAGAAATAAAAATAGAAAGGTATAACACAATTAAAAGGAAAGTGAGAACTTAAGAATTAAACAATGACGAGAAGACAAGTAGAAAAGCTAGGAAACATGACAGGGGCAAAGCCATACGTTTATATACACAAGATGGTTAAGGCAATGATCCTGAGAATCTTCAGCAGGTTTTTGAAGCTAGCAGTTAATTGGTAGGATTCCCACCCTGACTAACTATATATGCTGATATCTGTGAACTAAGCAACATCACTGAAGATAGCAATGTGTAATGGTAGGGTCATGCTTGGAATGCCTGTCATTTTGGTCTTCTAAATGCGTACTGCTTGTCATGTCATACCCATTACTTCCATACTGTCTCTCAAGTAAATGCTTGTTTAAGAAAAGGGTAATAAAAGAAAACAAGAGACAAGAAAAAATAATGTCATAAGGCTGTCCTGCTATGACATTGTATATGGTTAGATTTCTAAATTTCTATGTAAAAATATGCCATTGTTTATTCCTATTTTTTAAAAAAAATTTAATTTTTCAATTTTTTTCTTCACACTCTGTAGGGGTTTAAAGTTTAACATATCAAAACTTGATGAAAAATGCCTGTTCCATGTTATGCCTAAGATGTTTGATATTTAGACAGATAATTAGGGTAAACTAAACTGCATATGTTGCCGGGTAATAATAAGTTTCTCTTCTGGAGGGATAACAATCTAAGTTTGCAGATCAAAAATTGGAGAAAAGGAAGGGCTGCAAGGACAGCCAACATTTTAGCCCTAGCCTTTCCAGGCCAATTAAGACTCAGGACACATAAGAACCTGTACTGTAATATCATGTAAGTCAGTTGTGTCCCAAATTTTCTGATCAAGGAGATTATAGGGCTAAAGCCCTATAGAAATGTGATTGATGATGTAGAGTGAGCCTAAGGAGAGTCACATGGAGAGGAAACATTCTCTCAGGCTTTCACAGAGAACAAATTGGTTAAGCAATGGCCGTGACTCATCCACATGGCTGACACTGACAAAGGATCTACAAAGTGTAGTACAGGGTTTCAGGGTAAATCCTGAGGGGATTTGACTGACCTTGTCAGATACAAAAGTTACATTTCTTGTTATATAGGTCTTGCTTTATCTTGTTGTTAACCATCCAGCAGAAAAGTATAAAAACGAAGTATATAAAATAAAGCCACATTAATATGCTGAGCTGTGAAAGGCTCAAGTCAACGACTACTGCAGATAACCCACTACTACTGTGGACTGCTGGACTGTGTTGGATTGTTTTGCTGAATTCACGCACCTATAGTACTTAGATGCCAATGGAATAGCCATCTCTGACAGGACAAAACAAAAAAAGGAGATACAAAGGAAGGACCATTTTGTATTTGTATATACAGAATAGTTAGGATAGATATACAGCTATTTTCACTTAATTCAATGAGAAGAACGATTTGTACTAATAGTGTTTGGACAGGATATCCTTCCTGCTTTTTGTAATATGGATAACCACTAAGAAAATAACAATCAGGGGCCGGGGAGCTGGCTCAGTGGAATAAGTGCTTCCTTGGCAAGCGCAAGAGTCTGAGTTCAATCCCTGGTTCCACAAAAAAAAAAAAAAAAAAAAAAAAAAAAAAGAAGAAGAAGATAACAATATACAATGTATTAATTATTGAAACTGTCCTGTTTATCAGCTTTTAAACTGTCTCATTGATATATGTTTCTCAATAAAGTAAAATAAAATAAAAATAAAAAAATAAATAAGGTAATAAATGAAAACAAGAAAAAATAGTGTCATAGGACTGTCCTATTACAATGTTATACATGGTTAGATTTCTAAATTTCTGTGTAAAAATCTGTTGTTGTTTATTCCTATTTTTTAAAAAAAATAATTTATAAATTTTTTTTTCTTCACATTCTCTAGGGGTTTAAAGTTTAACATATTAATACTTGATGGAAAGTAACTGCTCCATGTTATGTCTAAGGTGTTTGATATTTAGACAGATAGTGAGGTTAAGCTCAACTGCCGCTGTTGTAGGGTAATAATATCATTAAGCTTCTCTTTTGAAAGGTTAGCAACTTAAGTTTACAGACCAAAAATTAGGGAAAAAGAAGGGCAAAGACAGCCAACATTTTGGCCCTAGCCTTTCAATGTCAGTGAGGACCCAGGACATAGGAGAATCTTGTATGTTTGAAATTCTACACTTTATCTTCTTTTCAAAAAGTTAAATACATACTAACTATTCAGTTCCTCATTGCTTATAAAATAAAGTCATGGTTCTTTTTTAAGAGGTCAACAAAACACAACCCAATCTTTTTTTTTCTTTTTCATTTTTTTATTCTGCACAACCTAATCTTGATTTGTATTTCTCATATCATTGGAAAAATCTCTCCTCAGGTGCCTTCTCCTGACAGCAGAATGGCAACATCTTTGGGTGAAGATGACCAGCTTCCTGCAGCAGTGTGCCCTTCCGCACATTTCTCACTGCATGTAACTGGACTGCAGCACTGCCCTTAACACGGTAAGCTGGAGGTGCCATCAGTGGCACTGACCGTATCCCTCCAGAAGCACTGGTCGTGAATTTCTGCAGCTTTCTTCCTCCTTTGTGTGGGATATCCAGAACCCTCAGGGCATTGGAATTCTGATTGCACATGCTGGAGACTGTCTTCAGTGCATCCTGTAGTGCCTTCTTTCCCTTCTTGGCCTCACTTTTCAATTGTTGCTTGTAGGGACTACTTCTATCAAGTTATGGGCTCAGGGTATTTTTGGGAAATATGAGTCTCACTCAGCCAGAAACTGGTCACTTTACTGAATCTTTACCTTTGTTCAAACCAGATTCTTGGTGACTCATGTTTCTCTCTCTCTCTCTCTCTCTCTCTCTCTCTCTCTCTCTCTCTCTGTCCCTCCCTTCCTCTGTGCCTCCCTCCCTCCCTACTTAATAGACATGCTATCATGAAATTCACTTAACAGTACTGTAAAGTGTTTTACAGAGGTCTTCATAATGCCCATTACATACCTACCACTATCCTGAACCCATTTAGTATACCTCTCAGCATGAGCACAATTTCTACTGTTTTTTGAATTTTAGTTCCTAGCTCCTTTTTAGATAACTTCAATCTGCTCTTAAATACCTTGTTACTTTTTGTTAGCTATTTTTGGGCAAAAATTTACTTTTTGATATTATAACACCCAAATAATCACCTCATTTATCTAATAAACTCATTAAATATTTAATAGCTCTTTTTTACTTCTTAGGTACATCTCTGCTTGTCTTTTAGGGTCTCTAGGTTAGCTTCTTCTGATGTCTTACCTGTCTGTTATGATCTCAAACTTCTTCACAACTTAGTTCCCTTTTGGTGACACTTTGTTGGTTTTTCTTTGCACTGGGGATTGAACTCAGGACCTTGTGCTTGTCAGGCAGGCACTTATACCACTGAGCTATCTCCCAAGCCCTTGGCAATGTTTTCAGACTGCTCCTCTTCTAGGAAAACTCAAGCATAGTTTGCAAATTTCTTGCATTCCTGCTTCACTTTTCAAACATTCCTGATTTCTAGAGTCAGACTGTTTTTGGAACAGTTTTGATAAGTTACTTTCTTAGACTTTAGATAGTCTTATTTTCTGAGTTTATACATTACTATCGGGATCTTAAAAGAGGCTGATTACACTTGGAAGTTTTCAAATTATGAAAATGTTTTCTGTTAATATATCTCAAATGTTAACTTTCATGAAGTAATTTATTTTTAGAGCTAATGTAAACTTATAACAGTAAAACTGTTTGAAATTACAAAAGCTTTAGTACAGAAATTAAAATATAATCATGATTTTGCATGCCAGAAAGCTGGAAGGGCCAGTGAGATAGCTCAGTGGACTAAGTACCTGCCTAGGCAAGCATAGGGACCAGGGTTCAATGCACAGCACCACAGGCCGTGCCTGTCCCACCCCCAGGTGTGCTGAGCAGGCCACCTATTATGGGTGTGGTGGTACACACCTGTAATCCCAGTGCTAGGAAGTCTAAGACAAGAGCATCATCATGAGTCCGAGTTGTGTAGTGAGACCTTGTATCAAATATATTAAAAAAAATTAGCAGGGAGAACCTGAAGATTTAACTCAAATACTGTACTAGTGGTGAACCTGTGACACACACGTTATTTGTTTTTTAAGACAAAAGACATTAATGCATTCAATGTTTTTTTCTAAACCAAAACCTCAGTGTTCAGGATTCACTGCACTGCTGGCATTTTGCAACAAGTGAGTGATCTCTACAAGGTTCACCATCCCTGTCGCATACTGTTTGTACCTGTCAATAAAAAGCAGATACTAGAAAGCTTAGTTGTGTGAGTATTCTAATTCATCATGATAAAGAATCCTTAATGGAGAATATGCTTTTTCCTAAATGTCTTATATCATAACTTTAGATTTCAGTATTCTTCAAATTCATCATTGAGTTCTCCTACCATCTTTTTTCTAGCTTGAAGAGCAATTTGCTAACTTTCTTTTCTAATCTATGTCCCTTGTGTTTTCCTTTTATTTATTTCCCATCATTATACATATTTTTTCTTTGTATTTTAGTAATTTTTCTGTTTCTTGTGAAGCATTATAATTATCTTGGATACTTATATTTTTGTATTGTTCTAAATATTCTTTTGTTGTTGTTGTTGTTCTAAATATTCTTGAGTTTTGTTTTTGAAAATGGCTAGTTGTGGCTGGCCAGATAGCCCAGCAGACTAAAGCACCTGTTTAGGCAAAGCACAGTGACTGGGGTTCAATCCCCCACATGTTGTGTTGGCCTAGCCCCCGGGCACACTGAGAAGACAATTGAGACTGGGTATGGTGGCACATGCCTATAATCCCAGCACTTGGGAGGCTGAAAATGGGAGGATCACTATGAGTTTGATCTGTGTAGTAAGACCCTGTAGACTCTGTACTAAATACATAAAAAATAAAAAAAGAAATTAAAAATTAAAAAAGAAAATGGCTAGTTGGAGACTATGTGATCTTTTTTGAGTTTTGCTTCCAAGATTTGGTAGGCAGGACTATATCTGTGTTTAGTCTAATTAATTTTATCCTACTACTGAAGCAAGACCATTCTAAATACTCTGACTTATGATCTTTGATTACAAGGTTTTTTTTACTCTCTGGCTGTTGAGTTAGGCCTTACTCCTGAGTCTGTTTTACTTCTTAACATACCTGAGACTGAGTAAATTGTGAAGAAAAGAGGTCTATTTCAGCTCTATTTAAGCTGAAAGACTAAACAGTATGGTTTCAGCCTTGGTTAGGAATCCTTCACTGTATCACATCATGGTAAAAAGCATGTCAGGTGATGTGTTGGTGCGTGTGTGTGTGTGTGTGTGAGAGAGAGAGAGAGAGAGAGAGAGAGAGAGAGAGAGACAGA